GAAGAGATACTGGCACCTCTGTAAGTATGCCCTTCTCTCTGAGTTAGTAAGAATCGACCACAGCTGTGGCACTTGCATAGCTGCTTTCAGGAGGAAATAGCAGCATGGGCTTCTAAAAGCAAGTGGCCATCAAGAAATCCTACACACTGTATTCTTAAAAATATAGCTGTACTCTTCCCCTCTGCAAGTCAGCCATACTCTCATCAAATCTTTCTAAATGTTTTCAACCAAAAGAGCTCTGGCAAGGAAGGTGCAATCAAAGAGCTTCCAATATAGCTGGAGTGTCTTTGGAAGGAAAAATCAGAAATTAAAGCAACCTGAATCACACCAGTCCAGGGACTGGATAGTTAAACCCCCCCCATATATCAACATACTTGTTTTAAAAACGTAAGATCTTTGTACAGTGACTTTCTCAGTAGACCAGAGTTATTTACAGCTAAAAGAACAGAGGTATGAGATTATATCATCATGGCAAATGAAACAATCCTGATTGGTTTTACTTATGTAAATGTAGCTACTTGTGACAAGAAATACATTTATCTTAAAACAACACTGAACAATGACAGTAAGCACACAGACATGTATTAGCATTTATATGCACACATTCTACTAAAAAAAAAATCAAGTTAATCTACTCTATTTTAATCACGTGCAAGGAGAATATGAAAAGGGAATTAAACACAGCCAAATCTTATTGCTTCAGCTTATTAAACTTCACTGGAATTCTAATGTGAAATATGCCTATCATATCAAGATGCTGCCCCGTGCGATATTTTCAGAGAAGAGCAATACTTCAGCTCCTACAAGAGAGTGCTGTCCCTCCTGACAGCACTGCAGGGAGTACATCAAGATCACATGGCTGTCTGCGAAGTGAACAGAGGTGACAGCACGCGAGTCAGCTATTTCACCACAGTTATATGACTATCCACATTAGTGATCCTTGTCCAGCTTTGCAGATTCAAGCACAAACAAAAACCAACTTCCAAATACGCACACGCACAAAGAAATGCTTTGAAATGCTTGTATTCTTTTCTATCCATGAAGAATATTTAAATTATTTACATCCCAATGCAATACAAACCAAGCTCATAAATGATTACATTTGGAACATGTACAAGGCTTCCCATCAGAGATATTTGCTGTAGGATTTAACCTACTGGCACGAAAGGTACATCATCAGTAAGTGGTGACAGGGTATGTTAAAGGTTAATATGTTAGTTGTAAATATTGGTACCGAGGTGAAGAGCTATATAGAGAAATGCATTCTTAATATTTAGGTGTAAAAATCTGAACCTGAAAAACACTGAAAGAGTTAGACACCTTGTAAGTACTGTGGAGTAAATTATTCAGGTAAAATAAAAGCTGAATCTGAGCATGTGTTAATGAACCAAAACATAGCAAAATGATGGTTAAATTTCAAACAGCAGTTTTTTTAAAAATTGCATCACTTCTGTGAAGGAATAGGAACAATGCTTCAGAGGAGGTACGTTTTTATAAAGCTCTGTAGAGCTGTACGTTTGCACTATTTAAAAAATGCATTAAAAGAATTCACTTTATAAAAACTAAGCAACATGATAGTGGACTTACGTTAATTTAGCTTTTGAAATTGGAAAACTTAAATGCTAAGGGCAGCATGGAGACCCTCTGTATTAACTAGAGGAGTATAATCTATGCTGTAGAGGTACGTAATCACCACCGGCATGTCTTTAGCCTGTCTGCACAGTTTAAAATCAAAAGGCGGCTGTCAGAAGCTAAAACAGGAGACTAACTAACAAGAATTGACGTTCCAATAGGGAAAAGCACTTCAAGGTGTTGAGAGAAAAATAATCACATGACTTCTAACCAGAAAGCATCGAACTGATTTATGCTCACTCACACATTACTTACTTTGTTAGATCTCGGAGTCTAAATAAACATCTACAAAGGAATGTAAAAAACATTGCTTTCAAGGGTGCATCCACATGGCCTGTGTAGATGTATTCGGGAGAAGCTGCCAGGAACTGTTCATCCCGGAGCAGGATAACGCAGGAAGGCTCTGCTCTGCTTTTTTGTAAGCATTCTGAAGAAGATCAACCTCTCTGGCTAACTTTAGGAGCATTTAGAGTTCCAGAGAGAAATGTCCACACAGAGTCTGTTTTTAAATTTTTGTCCTTCTATTACACGGCTTTACAAAAACAAATAGAATCAACTCCCGAAGGGAAGAAATGCAGTTATTAAACCACCATCAGGTTTTTTTTAAGTAATCCTGGTTACAGTACAAAGGGGCTTGCTCAGCTCCTTGTGTACCACTGGAAAAGTTTCCTGGATTCAACCCAGAAAAATGTGAAAGCTGAGTTCTGCCATTTCTGAGAATGAATGCCAGGGGGTAACTTGGCTTGTCATTGTGGCAAATGCAGTTAGGTAAAACAATCTTGAGAAAGAGACCAGGAATTTCCCATATTAAATCACAGCTCTAAGAGGGCCATACTTATCTCTTTAAAGAGTCTAAATTTAGACTGCAGTAAGCACACCCCTCAGTATGAAAAATTGTGTAAAGGGAATATATGTAAATAGTGAAAAACACAGTAAACTATTCTCTCCATTTTCTCCCATTCCTTGCTCTCTCCATATTAATAAAGCCAAAGCAAAAATTTACATATGACCCATGACACCAATGCTCAGCAGGAGTCAAATGGAGATATTATTGTATTCATCTACATATAAATGAGAGACTGCTGATTCTACTATGGTTTGAAAGAACGTAGGAAGAATATTTAAAAGCAGAAGCGTAACAGATGCTTGTTAAAGATCAGGCATTGATCACGACAGTAAGCATAGAAGGAATTTAGAGATGAGAATAAAAAGAAAGCCATAATACCTGGGGATCTTTATTTCTTATGAGCCTTCAGCATTTTTATTTTTATGATTTCTACATGTCACAGCAATGCGGTATCCTTCACAGGATAACAACACTGCACATCTCTGTCTTCGTATTTGTAAATGTACAACAGGTTACCAAAGCCCACCACTTCTGAACCATCAGCAGCCAAGAGCATAGACAGAGGACGTATTAGTACCTACCGATCTTTAAACCTGTTTGAACTCCAGATCCAAAACGGACACAGCAACTCACAGCTCCTAATCCAGAAACAAATGTATGCAAGCCACTGTTTTTGCCCAGCTGTATCGCTCTTAAGCAGCTCTACTTAAACTTCTGTTGAAGTGCATTCTATACCCTTTAAAGTAATCAAATGTGAAACAGCTCCTGTCTTTTCAAAATGGTAATTTTTAAGCAAGTGAATCAAGGCTATGGAACACGTACAAACTGAACAGCAAATTGTACGTTGATTCACTATCTTCCTTAGATCTAGACTTGCACCTTTTTAATGGACTGTTATGAGAGCCATTTTCAGTGTGGGGAAGTACTTGTTTAACCAATATAGTTTGAGTTTGTCAGTGTTTTCATACAAATCAGAGAACACAGGACAGAATGGAGCTCAGGGAACATTCAAAAAACCAGTGCCTCACAATTTTCAAACCAGTTCAATATCCACCTATTAGCAGTTACATTTAGATGACATTTTTTGCCTTGATGATGACAATGTTACCCAAGGCACGGTCAGATGTCTTACTGGAGAAACAAATCTACTGTTCCTCTTCTATCTCCAAAGTCTACTATTCTGTTAAAGTAGATATTAGATTGGATGGACATGATTGTTCTTTTACAAATCTACGTGTTCTCTCTTACCCACTTAAAATTGCTTGTATTTCCAGAAAACTACTGGAACATTTAAATAAAGCTGCTAACTGGCCTGTAGTTTCCCAGGTCCTACATCTGCCCCACTTTATAATACATGTATGCCTGCTCATTTTCCACTCCTTCCAGTTTCACTATGCTTCTTTCCAGCTTTGAAGATCAAAGAGATTACGATTTATTGCAGTTGATCCTTTACTATCCTTCCTAGGGAAAAATGAGGACACAATTCCTTTAAGGAACTGTCAACTTCCTTGAACTCTTTTTCCCCTTAGGTAAGTTTTAATATCTGTATATTTTCACTCTGTGTATGGAAATTTCAGGTCCTGTATCAGCTCACGTACAGGAACTTAAAAAAAACTTAGAAGGCTTTTGAAAACACTTTCAGCATATTTTTCATCATTTTCTTTTCAAATAATGCAGTTTAAAGAAGCTGATTTTCCTCTGTTGCCAGCAATCATGTCCATTAGACATTAAGTCTTGAGCAGGATGTTGGGCTAGATGACCTCCTGAGGTTCTTTACAGCTTGAATTGTACTATGACACTATGAACTAGGAGTCTATTTCATCAAAGTCAAGCGTGCCAATAAACAGTCATTTTAAAAATGAGAAACTTTTAGCTCTCATATTAGCATCTTTTACCTCTCCACTTAAACTCCTGTGCAACATAAATCAGAAACATGCGACAAAATGGGTTGTCTTTTATAACACTCCTGGCTTAAAATTAAAACACAAATTTAATCCCAATACACTGATGGGGAAGCAAAAAATAATACTCTACTCCTTCAACAGTTACTTGTTTTTTTTACAATGGAGAATAGATATCGCCTGTAGAAATAAAAAGCACAGTGCTAGCACACCAAAGATTTAAAACAATTATCTAACAATTTAGTGGGCAGTAACGAAATAACATGGGAAGAATTTTTCTGCACAACACTTCTGAGCAATCTGACACCATACTTAAAAAAATTAATCGGAAAGAAGTTTTCAGACATAAATCTTTTTCTGTTGTATAACTATAAATTAAGAACTGACTCCTCACCGACTCCTACCCTTTTTGATGAAACTCAGTTATATAAGCTTCGGAAATACTATACACCTACCAACCTCTAAAATCACATTGATTTTCTGGTAAATGAAAGGCAACAGCAGTGTGGCATCGCTTTCATGAAGGCTCTAAGGCTGGAATTAATATGCTGCTTTGGAAATAAAAAAAAACCAAGAAAGAAATTCTGCAAAACTTAAAAGCAGAGGCAAAACGCACTTACAGTGTTGGCAAGTTCTAAGTAGCTTCCTCCAACAGAGTTGCTAGTATTTGAGGCCTGAGCTAGAAGTCTTTGCAGAGCAGCCTGTTGAGTCACATTGCTTCTACCACACTCCAACACCTTTTGTAGTATAAAATGACTCTGGAGGTCTGGACTCTGAAGGTCTCTTGCTCCTGAATCATACTCCCAGCTTTCTCTGGCTCCTGATAAGGCACCTAAAATGCAAAAATGCAAAAACATTTTAGTATGGACTGCGTATAAAGAATACATGGAACCATAGAAGTCTCAAGTTGGAAGGGACCCATGAGGATCACGGAGTCCAACTCCCTGCTCCTCGCAGGACTACCTAAAAGTAAACCATATGACTAAGACTGTCATCCAGACGCTCCTTGAACTCTGACAGCCACCCAGACGCTCCTTGACCTCTGACGGCCCTGCTGCCGTGACCGCTTCCCTGGGGAGCCTGTTCCAGTGACCGACCACCCCCTCGGTGAAGAACCTTTTCGTAATGTTGAGCCTGAACTTCCCCTGACCCAGCTTCATTCCATTCCCCCATCTCCTGTTGCTGGTCACCAGAGAGGGGAGATCAGCACCGCCCCCTCCGCTGCTCCCAGTGAGGCAGTTGTAGGCTGTGATGAGGTCACCCCTCAGCCTCATCTTCTCCAGGCTGAAAAGCCAAGTGACTTCAGCTGCTCCTTCTAAGTCTTGCCCTCGAGGTCTTTCACCATCTTGGTCACCCTTCTCTGGACACACTCCAATAGTTTGACGTCCTTCTCATACTGAGGCACCCAAAACTGTGCACAGTACTCGGGGTGGGGCTGCACCAGTGGGGTGTAGAGTGAGACAATCACCTCCCTCGACTGGCTGGCTGTGCTCGGCCTATGCAGCCCAGGACACGGTTGGCCTTTTTGGCTGCCAGGGCACACTGCTGACATGTGAATAAGTCTGCTTGTCTTTGCAGAAAGAAAAAAAGCCAACAGTTCCACCATCATTATTCCCCATTGTGCACTTGCTGACAATGCCAGGAAAAAAAAAAGGTAAGAACATTTTCAATGCACAGATCATTTACTAAATTACAAGATCCAGAAGGAAAAATAAAAGCATTTGCATACCTTATTTAGTACAGAGTAAAAACAGTGTAATTTACAATAGCTAAGGACCACTGAATGACTGCCAGTTACTATGTCAGATTGAAAAGCAGCACTGATCAAAGAACAAAAGAGGAAAACCACAATTCACCTCTTTTTGTTTACTGAGGACCAACACAATAAGTGAATCTTTTAACTGTAATAGTTCATCACTTTTTATGTTATCATTGCCTTTCTTATTATCTCAGGATTGCTTGTTTCAGTTCAAGTTTCAGGGACACATAAATCACAAGGTGTTTCATTACAAATCAGTGCAAGAATATGATCATGTAGCTAGTGACAAACAATGAATGCTTCAGAGAAAGTTCCTGTATCATGAAGCTGTCAGGTTGCTGTTTCTCCATGTACGTTCCTTCCAATTCCCTGCAGGTAGAGACAGGCTTAAACCCTAAAACAAATTTAACAAAATTTTCTTATTTTATCAGTAACTATTTTATCCCTGGGTGCTTCTGCTTCCCATACAACTGTCACACTCCTTTTAAAATCTTGTTATGTTTTAGGCTCAACAATTTCCTATGTCTACCTATTCCACAGTAGACACTAGATTATTTAATAACCCTGGGCAGCGCTGTAAAATTTCTTATGTAGCATATTGAAGATTAGAAACAATTAAGTGACTTGTCCAATCACTCATTCTAAGTCAACAGAAAAGTCAGAACAGAATCCAGAGCTACAGACTAGAGCAAAACTCGAAATCCACTGTGCAATCATCCAACATAAGTAATTGTCTGTAATGCCATCCTATTAGTTTGAAAGCTTTTCCTTTTCATGAGCTAATTCTCTCTCTCAAATATTCATTAGCATTCTAAGTGAGCGTTTACTAATCGGTGCTTATTACTTATTCAGTACAATACCAGGGAGAAACAATAAACTATATAACGAACTATTAGGAGAATGCCTCCCCCTTGCCAAGAAAGTTGAAGCTGCAAAAGTGCAAACAGAAAACCAGACAGAAGGGAAGCAAGACAGCAACTAACCTGTAGCTTTAGGTCAACACCCTCAAACCCTGTAAAGCAGTTACGCATGACAAACCAACTTAGGAAACCCAGAGGTGGTTTCCTTGCCTTACCGTAATGAGAATATGCCAGTCTTTAAACATATAAGTAGAAAAGAACACAAAACAAGCAAGAATTACATGTCACACTAATATAATTACCACGATCCATTACCGCAGCTACGGGTAACAATTAAAGACTAATTCAACTACTTTTACACCAACAGCATGCCACACCGTACATCACCCAGCTACAGGCTGCGAGGTCCCCGCTGGAGCTGAGCGAGGACACCGCCGCCACCCACGTTCGCGCCCCGTGAGCAGTGACAGTGTGCTGTGTCAGGCGTCCCCGCCCGCCGGTGGGTACGCTACACTGCACAGCAAAAAAAAAATTAATCAGCCGCTCACAGAGTTGAAGGAGCAGAAATGCCTCGGGAGCCTAAGAAAGACAGGGGATCAGTTCTGCCATCTCCCAGGCTTGGCAAGAACATGAAGAGCAGCTCTGTATGCGTAAGCATCGCCACGGAATTAAGAGAGCGGGTTATGTCATATAGATACTTATCTTTCTACAGAGCTAGATATGGCACATGTTCCAACAGAGTATGTGCACTAAATTTCTACTACTCAAACAACACTGTTCTGCAAAAGAACTTTCACATTCATTCCATTAACAACAGTAGCTTTGTTGAAGACCCAAGACGCGTTCATAGACTGCACCATCTGCTATCAGATTGGAAGCACTTACAACACTCAGCTGGCTCAGAAGTCACCTGTCCCTCACAGATGGACCCAGGAAAGATTTTTTTCTTCTATGACTGTATTGTGGCTGTATTTTTAACTCAAGTTTTCCTAAAAGTTCAACTCTGTACTCCTAATTTAAAACATATACACTAAAAATGCAAGGAGAGATGATAGTTACAAAGGATGGCATTTCCAGTATTTTATTTTGGGCTTAACCTTGATCTCTAAATTTAACCACTATTTTCCCAACAGATTCAAAAACTCTGGCTGCTAATATGCTGCCCTCCTGGGCCACGGACCTTTCAAGTCTCAGCTCTGCAGGGAAACACTGGACCTGTCAAAACTGAGATTTCAGTTGTACCTGAAAATTCAGTCAGGAATTAATATACAACTCCTGTATGCTGCTGTAATTAACATACAACTCTTGCTCTTATGGTAGTAATCAGAAAGAAGGACTCATTAGGTATGATGGCACATCAAAAGCTGATAGCCAACCTGATAACTAGGAATCTATAGTTCCTAAATTTGTGTTTAAGAGTTAATCTTTACAGAACTACACACATCCCATAGTAGTTTTTCCTGTTGCTCTACACTTACAATCATACAAAACATGAAATTTCTATATTAAATGAAATGAAATTATTATAATGAAAATTCCCTGGTAATAAGCACGCTGGAAAATGGATGTTATTACAACCACTAAGCAGAAAAAAAAAAAACCCAAACATTAGTTGTACGGTATTTGTATCAGCCAAGTAATATAAGAGCATATAATTGTTTTCAAATTATATAAGTAACATTTCAATTCCAGAGTAAGACAGTTCAATCAATCCTTTTTGGACTGAATGGATACATCAGACTTCTCTAAAAGCGCAGTATAAAAGCTTCTGATTCTACACAAGCTTCTATACAAGTATTCCTTTAATTGCCTTCCTAGTACCACTAGCACTTGCCTGTCTTGACCTGTAATTAATTCTGGGTGAAATTCATGTTATAGCAAACATTCAGAACCTAACAGGAACTTTTTGTTTCTAGCCTTTTGTAGAGTAGATGAGTATAGCATCTGAGATTATGTGGATCCATTAGTAGTAGTCAGGTCAACCAGGGAGGGCAACTGAAATCTTGTCTGAAACATTTCTTTAAAGACTCTGTCTTTTGTAGGTTTTCCTGTTCATTTAGTTAGCTCCAGCTCCTACTTATTTCCTTACAATTTACAATTATTTAAACTTTGAAATACGATATCACATTTAAGAAAACAAAGGACAGTTTAGTTTGATGACACATACATATACAAGATTCCATAATCACAGACAAAATTTCAGTTGGTGAATTGTACCAAAGCTGTTTAAAGTAACTTTAATCAATTCCCTTGACAAATACCGCTATGACAGCATACCTTGCCCATCTGCACTGAGACTTCTTGCTAGCTTAATCATCCTTTATCACCTGCAAAGCTCTCAGTAGCAGCACAGAGGTCTGTGTTCGGGTACTGGTGTAACCCCATCATGCAGATCTGGAAAAAATGGCATTTCATCTTCTCTGCTAACAGTTAACCTTCTGCCTAGAAGGCTTGTACTCCGCAACAGAGAAGCAGGTGCCCACCATAACCACAAGTCTACCCATACAGCCAGGCTTTTTGGTTTGGTCAAGGTTATCTTTACCCGGCTATGGTGACAGACCAAACATTAAGTGATTTCATCTTTGCTCACAGAGTAGGAAAGGTAAACCATCAAGATGGTAGGGCACTGAAGATGTGAGAGTTGCTGAAAGAATCCGGGACATCAGGAAAATTCAGGTACTGTAAGATTAGTCCGGCATCAGCTTCTCAAATGAGTCTACTTATGAATGGCAAACATGAAGACAGCTGACAATGAAAGATGCTATGAGCACAACCAGCCCCTAGGTCACATAGCTACACCTCACTCAATAAGGAAAGGCTTAACAGCAGAGATCCAAAGTCTGATCACTGTTTTGCATGAAGTATCAGTGATATTTAGTTACTTAAACTTATCTGAGGAACTCTTAACACAGAATATAATTTATATGTGGACTGGGCACAACTAGCAGCTTCTGGGAGAAATTTCATTCTACAGTATGATGATTTTACTGATGAGTAAGCAGAGAGTTAAGTCCTCTCAGTTCAATGTTAGCCTCTAGTCTCAAAACCTATTTCGATCAGTCACGATTTTCTAATCAGAAGTTCCATAATTATTTTAAAACATTTTCTTCATGCCTTACAACACAACAGTTCCTGGAGACACGGTCCATCTGATTCTACTGTCTCATTTCACACACTAGGTCACTCAATAGGCATAAACAGGTTACAGATTTA